CTCGCGCAGCGTTCAATTGCAAAAATTGTTGTTGTTGTTGTTGTGGTCGTGGTCGTTGTGGTTGTTGTTGTGGTGGTGGTTGTTGTTGTTGTGGTCGTGGTCGTGGTCGTGGTCGTCGTCGTCGTCGTCCTCGTGGTCGCAGTGGTTGTTGTTGTCGTTGTCTCGTCGTCGTCGTCGTCGTCGTCGTCGTCCTGTTGTTGGGACAAAGATCTTGCAAGGATCTGTGCTCCCTGCGTGTCCTTCGGGCAACAAGCACATCTCAAGTCTGCTGGAAGATTGTCAGCATTCCAACATGCCAAGGATCATCAACTCGCTGGTGGGCATCATGGTGGTGCCTTGTCGCGCAGTGTCACAGTTTCTTCGTTTAGAACCGGGCGGTGGGTCGTGGGGTCTTGTCTATAGCTCGGAGAACTCCGAAGCCTTATGCAGGTCTGCCGGCTACCTTTCGTCCAGAGTGAGAGCTCAGGGCTCTGTCAACCTTCTGGGATCGGCTACAAGTAAGACGGCTAAGATTTCTAAGAGCGAAGGAGCGTGTCTCCAACATCTCTGCCGATGCCGCAGAGAACCAGGTTGGTTTGTCAGCTTTGCCACGACTTGTGGTTGCTTTATCAGAGAGTTGCTGCCCCTTGCGATTCTTTGCCATCTTGATTAGGCCTTAAAGTATGGGCCCCCAACATCAGAAACCTCAGCAGGAGCTGGCAGCAGCCAGAGCTTACGAGATGCTCCTGCGCTTTGGAAAGCAGCAGTAGTCTTGGCGACCACTCTCTCGGCCAAGAAGTCGAAAATCACGGTCCGATTGTGGACTTTGCAGCGCAAAGTTCCATTGTCCAGACTCCGAAGCTGGCAAGGGAAGGTCTGGATTGGCCATTGCTAAGGCAGTCCCTCCTTGTGGACCTCCGTTATGCCATGAACCGTAACGGGAAGATCGACTTTGAGGTGTCTCGTCAGACTCAGATTTTCGAGGTATGTTGGAGTCGCGGTTCCGTTCGGGAGGCTGACAACTTTTGTCCTGCTGCCCTGTCCGTCAGCTTCGATGTCTAAGGCTTATTGGAAGTTGCTGCGCCTCCCCTCTATAGGGGAGAAGTTGACCATCATGGGCATTTCACCAGAGGAAGCTTGTCTATCCGAGCCGGGGCAACAGCTGGGAGGAGGATTACCTGTTCTCTAATAGCTGCTCCGTGGTTTCGTTGATGCAGCATTACATGCCCCTAGAGGTTCCTGGCGAAGGGGCTTGTCTGGAGGTTTCCAAGGTCCCGTGGTGCCGGTGCCGATTCCCGTGTCTTCTCCTTTGAGTGACAAGCCTTTCCCAGACCCGAAACCCGAAACGAACTTCAAACCTTAGACTCCTTAGATCCGAAATCATCCGCGAAAGGAGGCCGAAGTTTTCTTCGCCCTCATGGACGTCGACAAGACCGGGCAGGCCCCGGATTCTCTCAGTAGGCAGACTAAGAGCTTTATTCAAATGCAACATAGGGTTAGTTTTGTTGTTGTTGTTGTTGTTGTTGTTGTTGTTGTTGTTGTTCTAGATTATGACGAACATCAGTTTTTCTAGTTGAGGGCCGGGCTGCAGATACCGAACCGAACTTTCCGAGAACGGGCCGCCCTAAGCTATAACCTCGGCTGGAACCTGACCTTTCTGCCTGCAGGTGACTCCCGTCCAGCTCGTAAACGCCTTGGGCAAGGCCAAGGGCAAGTGCAAAAGCCACGACATGTGCAGCTTGGCTTGAAGCTCTTTCGAGGGGGGCGTGTTGGGTCGGAGTTCGGGTTTGGCTGACGTTTTGGAGTTTATCACATTAGCTTTTCAACTGAAGCCTTGACGAGGGAGCGTACAGTTCTTGTAGGTTGACTTCTGCTTGTCCCGTTGCCACGAGCTCAGCAAAGGGCGCTCGAACAAGGAAGCTTGAGTTGTTGTTGTCATGTTTCAGTCGCTGGACGTCCAACAGCGGCTGCCCTATCTATGCCTCCACCATCGTAGGTACCTTGGAGAGTTGTTGTTGGGCTGAAGTCTCAGACAGAGCATGTTTGGAATGCTTGGGGCAGTTCCGGCTCTGCCGCTCGCGTTCCTGCACAGGTGCCTTGATCTGCATTGTCCACAAGTCCCTGGGCTGCTTTGATGGGACCCGAAGAAGCTTCCTGGCCTCTCCAAGATTGGCCCCTTTGATCCACTGACTCCCAGAATTTGAGGCAGTGCCTCCGGGCTTCCCGATCGGTGGATCGAGTGCATCGGCTCATCGAGAAGGCCGGGGCCTGAAGTCCCATCAGTGACAGAGGGCCGTTTAGTTTGCAGGTTGACCAGATCCAGCATCGGCTTTGTGTCTGCGGTCGAGGACAGTGGAAAGCTGTCTTGTGGTGTTCAGGATCCATACAAGGGCATCTCGTTATCGCAAGAGTCCGAGGTTAGACTGATTAGACTAGACTTTCAGGCGTCTGACAAACCAGCCTACGAAACTGCGTAGCTCGGACCCCACTTGGCAGCGCTCCAGGGTCGTCCGGTACCCGGGCATCTCCGTGACTTCCGTGTACAGCACGTTGATTCGCTTCTCCCCCCCCCCCACCTTGCGGTTTCACTCTGGGTCATCCTTGGCTCCCAGCCGGCGAAGGACTGACCAGGGAGCGGCTGACCACACGGGACGCCGATGTCACTGGGCTTTATGTCGTACCGGGTTTAGGGGAAGGGCCGCGCCGTGCAATCGTGGCCTGATTAGTTGAAGAGGCACCCGCTGCGCCGAGGTAAGGGCGCAGGAGATGCACGACAGAGCTGCAGATCGTGAGCGCATCTTCCAGAAGGCGCTTTGAGACCGCGGCATCTTCTCTTTGGATTTTTGGAAGTGTCAGGAGGAAGGGTTTCGACTCGGTCGAGGAGGACGCAGAAGCCCGACACCCCTCCTAAACCTTGAAACCCAGTTTCTACAGACCCCTAAAGTCTCAGAAAGCCCTCAGACCCGCACAACCATACAAGCCCGCGAGGTGTTGTTCCGGACTGACATGGATGATTTGCGTCAGACTTCTTTCCGTGTTGTCTCCGGTCTGTGCCAGGCCTATGCCCTTGAAGGCCATGTAAACACTGAAGCTCAGACCCCCGCAAAAACCTCCAAACCGCAAACCTTAAAGCTGCAAGTTGAGGCCTTAAAGTCCCCACGAACCCAGAACCTCTGCACACCTTCCAAAACCCGAAGACGTCAGAAGACCTGTTAGAAAAGTTTGACGAACATGTTAAATAAACCCTAAAGCTTTTGAGCTCTAGGCCCTCCTGCCTAACTGTCTTGGGCTCTTAATCCTAAGCCCCTTAGCCTTAGCCCCTTAAGCCCTAAAAACTTAGCCCAACTCTGAGAGCCCTCTGTTTTGGCAGGCGGACTTGCAGCGCCATGTCGCCCAAGCCCGGATGAAAGTCTTTTGATGGCAGCAGCGGTGTTGCTTTTTGGTGGAGTCTTTCCGGGTCTTGAGGGTTTTTTTGTTATGGGGTTTTCTTCGTTTGGGGGTCTCTTTGTATTGGGTGTTTCGGGTTTAGGGCGCGCCAGGAGCCGAAGAAGTTCCGCACTTGGTTATGTGGTTTGGCAGATGGCATTCTTTGGAGTTCGGTCTGTTTTAGGCATCGCGACAGTATACTCCTTCCATGGTCTCGACAGAGATCCTTGGCAAAGCTCTGGACCTCGAGAGGCAGAGGTTGGAGCTGTCGTTCACGGACTTGTAGAAGCGATTTCGCATCCGCTGCTCGAGTTCCCTGTCTTTGCTGTCTGTGCCTACAGAGCTCGGCCGTGTGGGTGCACTCCTGCGGCGGAACCAGGGCAGTAGTCGAGTTTCACGAGGAGATCCCGGCGAAGAGACAGCTTACGAAGCTTCCCCCAAGCCGCAGGCGAGTGCTTAAATCTCTTCAAGGGGACCCCCCGCTCGTTGCAGCTGGCAAGACGCTGGCGATGTTAAGGATCTAGTCAGCTCCAGGTCTGAGGCTTGAAGCGAGGCCCACCCAAGATGCAACGCGTCGTTCTTGAACTTGAGAAGATGCCAGAAGCTCTACTACCACGAGTTTGAACCGAAATCGACCTTCCAATCCTCACCGCCTGAGCCGACAGAAGGGCGAGGCTGAAGATCGGCCGAAGCCCTGATCGTGAAAACGAGATTTTCAAGCTTTAGCGGGGGAGGCCAGTCCGAGACCTTGGCACCGCAACTCAATTGCTTCACTACTTGGGTTGGAACTTTTCTGTATGACGAGAGCAGAGCAATGAAGGCTCAAACCAACAGCAGTGTCCCTTCATGCCCTTCGGAGGGTGAGAATTTAGATGAAATGGGCCCGAGCCCTCTACAGGCCTCTAAACTCCTGAGAAACCCTGGACTTGCCGAGTCTCACCGATAGCCCTCAAACCCAAACCCCCACACCCGAGACCCCTCCAACGTTTTGCGTGGATCCACGTTTCGGTCGAGCCTCCACCAGCCAAGCCCCCGGGCCGTGTTGCAGATGTGACGGAAAAGAGGTGTTTAGGCTTTAGGGTTCAGGGCGGTAAGGGGTATGGCGTGGGGATGTATTGTTCAGCCTTTAGGGGTGTGGGGTTTAGGGTTCGGGTTAACGTTGGTCTGTATTTCATTGTCAAGAATGTAGTAGCAGCAGCAACAGCGACAGCGACAGCGACAGCGGCAGCGGCAGCGGCAGCGACAGCGGCAGCGGCA